ATGCAGCCACTACAGCCATAAGGAAATAGTTACCTGGGACATTGTTTAATGTGAATAGCTTTGAATGAAGAACACCCAGTCAGATTTCATAGCCAGAACTATATGTTCCATAACTTACATTCTGTTGATCTCATTTACAGATGACTAGTCTATCCCAGCAAGTCTCTCAGCTGAGCAAAGAGCTACAGGAAATGACACGTCTCCTTCGGCCCTTGCTTGTCATTGGATCTCAACCTCTCTTGACAGCCCTCAGTCCAACAATGCCTCCATCTCCCAGCAGTAGCAGCGGTCCAACTATATCCACGCCACCAGCTCTTTCGCCCACAGCCCCATGGTCTGCACCGCTCAGACCTACTTGCTCCCTATTGGACAGCACAGACACTGGGAGCATTGGCTTGCCCAGCTGTCTCATACCCACCAGCCCGCCGCAGAGACCCCAAGCACAGGCTCAGGCAGGCTGTTCGAGGGGACCTTCCTTGCCAGTCCTTCTTTCTCCAGTGACAGCCCAAACGGAGGGAGAAGGCACCCAGGCAGCTTCAGCCCAGCCACTGCAAACCAGCCATCCTGCATCCCCATCTCTAACCTTTTCCTTCTCGCTCCCTACTTTCCGCTCCCAGTCTACTTCCTGCTCTCCCTGCCAGGGTCCTCACCGACCTGCCAGTCACAGCAGAGGTTTGCTACCTCGACTCCCCTCACAGGACACCCCACCTCCACCACCCTCTCATTGCTCTGCACCACCCTCGATCAGTAACTCTCCTGGTGACCACAGGCTGGAGATCAGTCCGTTTCCCTCATCCCCTTCCTCCACTGCCACCGCCCCTCGGGTCCAGCCACGGTCGTGCACCCCTCCTTCTTGTCCGCACACCTCCCCACGCTTGCCCTGCTCCCTGGACTCCCTGCCAGAAACCCAGGCCTCTTTTGGCACCTTACGGTCCCCGCAGAACCCCAGGCCGGGACCTCCTCAGTTAGAGTTTGAGATGCAAGAATGGGCAGCAGGAGGGAGGCCTTCCACAGAGCATATCAGCTTCATAGATGAAGAGGGACCAGCACTGTGAGAGACTGAAAGATGAATACTATGACTAGTTGACTTAGCAAATAGGGGAGCGGTGAACTGGGCCGACTGCAATTACCCCAAAACACCTAATTTCTGAATGACAGACAAAACTGATTGCTGTTTCTTCAGGACGACACTTGTAATTTAACAGCTTGTGGCTCTGTTCCAAACCCTAGTGAGCTATCTACTTATAAACAGCATTTTTAGGCATCGTAGGCACGCTACTGACACCTTTGATGATGCTTTCTTTTAAAAAAATACCTAGTTTTGGCTAAAATCTATATCACTATCATATGTATGCATCACGGATAAGACATCTCAGAATGCATTCAGTGAAACGTTTTATCCAGCATTGTCCCACCTTGTTACCTAATACAAAACCACATGAGACTCTAAAGCTGCATTCATACCATGCCGTAATTACTGTTATTCTAATTATTCTTCCATTAAGTCATAGTCAATTATGAGAATTATTAGACAGAAATATTACAAAAAAGCTACATCTTACTGCTGAAGCCACTGCTATTTTGAGTGTTCCCACATGATTTTGTAGCAGTCAGTAGTACAAGTTGAAGCTCAGAAAATTCAGTTTAAGATGTAATTACACAACCTACAAGGACGTTAATGCTGTTTACAAGTCAGAATCTTATAATTGCGGTAATATCAACACGGCAGGAATGCACATTTGTTCACAGCAGGCTCCGGTCTCATTTTAGCATGCTGCTAACGCTAACAGAACTTGTCAACAAAGGAAAGTATTGATAGGAACAGTTCCATATAATTATAAATTAAAAGGTTTAGTCTAATATTGTGTGTTAGACTCTGTTGGAATCAACTGTGAACAAGTATCTCGTGCTGTTGGTTAGGCTAATGTGTTTTGATGGCTTTAGGTATGGATATGGGAACTTTTCAGCTGGTCAAGCTGAAAGAAAGCTATTTTTCAGCAAGGAGAATTGCTACCCAGGAAAACGGTTTCAATTCAGTCATCTATGAAGTTCCTTTTTGGTTAGATTGTAGCTGCCTATGTAGACAGCTTAAGGCAGCTTACTATGATTTGGAACAGAGCCACTATGGTATTCACCACTTGGGAGCACCTCAGTACCTGACATCAGCCAGCTAGTTCCTCTGAGCACAACTTCATGGAGTTCCTCATGGAGGCATTATAGGGTCTTCACAGGCATCATTGTCAACATAAAGCATGGTGACCAGAACTGCAAAGATCACACTGTGGTCATACATTGCTATGGGAATTTAATATAACAAGTAAAAGTACACTGATTACCTTGCATGGCTGTGCACTAATCATGCACAAATACCGGAAATGTCAGGTGGTGTTTCTTATCTCTGTATTACCAAAACAATGTTTTTACTTTACAAATTACCCACCTTCCCTGTTGAAAAAACCAGCATATGCTGGTTAGGTATGTTTTGACGCTGGGATGCTGGTTTAAACTGGTTCTTTGCTGGTTTATGCTGGGCCTTTTGCTGGTTTATTCTGGGCCTTTGCCAGCACATGACCAGCATAAACGAGCAAAAGGACCAGCATAAACCAGCAAAGGGACCAGCATAAACCAGCAAAGGGACCAGCATAAACCAGCAAAGGGACCAGCATAAACCAGCAAAGGACCAGCTTAAACCAGCATTCCAGCGTCAAAACATACCTAACCAGCATATGCTGTTTTTTTCAACAGTGAATCGAGTTCATATTCGAATTTCCAGAATTGATAAATGAATGAGATGTCACAACACATTATCCATAATACTTCATTTGTTTCATCCAGTCTGTCCCAAGCCACTTAACACATTTACTAGCCAGAATCATGAGTTGCATATTTAGTCAGATTGGAGACCTTGGGAAATGCCTGTCCTCCATTTCTAAAAAACTATCAATTTCAGTCGGTTTATAGATGTATTCATTATATTCAGTCAAAACAAATATGATTTAGAGGAAGCTGAAAGTGTAACACTTCGCTCACATGCACATATACAACCAGGGTCCAAAATTAACTTTTGCAACACCCGCATATAGTGGATGAATTGAGATCATTCATATGGTAATTCATTAATTCTATATATAGATCGATAGATGGATAGATAGACAGATAGATAAGATATATTTTATCAATAGTGATAGGGAATACACACACACACATTCCCTATCACAATCGATTTATTTAGCACATTGACATTCACAGCATCACAATTAATCCACTCATAATAAAAATAAAAAAAAACTTGTTTGATTTTCTTTAGATTTTAGTTTAATTTCAGTGGTTTGTCACAATTTCTACAGCTATTATGATAGAAAAAAGTTCAAATTTTCACTCGCATTGCTTAGATTGGATTTGTTCAAGTTGCAGAGCAGCCACAACTATCATTCATACAGTGTAAAACAAATTTTATGTGGAAACTGCTAAAAGCATTACCAGCCATCTGGCTGTTTCATTTACTCGCCAAAGCCAATTAACTCACATTTGCACTTGGCAAGTGTTAATTTTTGACCCTGCATGACATGCTAAGCACTCTAGCGTGTATTAGCCTAAGTCATGTTCTGTTGCCCAAGTTACACATTTAAAAGAAGTCATAACAGGCATACTCAAGACAATCATCAGAATACCATACAGATCAAAATGCTCAAACTACATCATTGTAACATGTGAAACAGTAACCAAACTTAGCAGTCAGACTATGAAGGGGTTGGCATGCCATATGCTGAGCAGCCCATGTAGGGTTCTGAGAGCTTGGCATGACACCTAATGAACAGCCACAGAAGTTAGCATATCTACAACTGAAATAAACACATATACACAGCTTTAGCCATCCAGCCAGCGTGCCTTCTCATTAAATATAAACGAAAAATCTTATAACACTCCCCATTTTTCAGCTTTCACAATACCGGTCAAAAAAAAAAAAGCTGTTGGTCGTTTCACAGTAGAGAGCACTGCACTTTTATTTCACTGATCTATTTATTTAATGATTTTATGTATTTATCTAGCGATCTGCTATCCTGATAAGAATAGACTCCCATGAGGAACCTCACAGATGATTCTTGCAGCTGGTGCCCAACAGAAGCAGAAACACCTCAAACTGAATTCGTTCCTCACCACCGTGTGATTATGGATTTCAGTAATGAAGATCACCTCAGCATCTCTGATTTCCGATGACCAGCAAGAGACTGGCTGAAACCGAGCAGCCAGTGTCACTTCTTTTCACTGCCATATAATTTGGCACATCTCTTGGAACCAGACTGATCTCATCTCGTTTTATCAGTTTGTTGGACACATGGCACGTGCGCCATCTGTCCATCCTGACTAACGTGTACTTGCTTGAATAGGGAAGGGGCACGTTGTTTATAACTCAATAGAATACTTTGGTTTCTATTTTCTTTATCTAGTTCAGGGGGTACAGATAGTAGAAACTTTGATGGACTTTGGGGTCTGGGGTTTCCTGCATGTCCATTTAATTTGCATGAGGAATGTGCCTGCATATATGGGGGGAGGGGTTGGACTGCACGACCCAAGGCAAACAGGGGTCCAGATGTATTTTATTAACTGTAATGAGCTTTATGAGAGACACTTACCAGGATAATAAAACAAAAGGTGATGTTTTCTAAGAATAAAGTATTCTTCTGTGTTCCTTTTAAAACTATTTTATCAGAAAAAGTCATCAAATATAAAGCATATTTGGTTGATTTTAAATAATTATTTCAAGTCAACCAAATACTTTAGTTTGTAAATTTATTGTCTCCCTTTTTGGGGGCGGGGGGTGGGGGGTTCTGCTACATTTTTGGACACAAAAGTAGAAGAAAGGACATTTGGATTCAAACCATAGACTGTAAAAAAAAAAAAAAAAAAAAAAAATTAAAAACCTATCATGACACCACACCCTGTTTTTAATAGCATCAAATAACTAATTAAGCAAACTTAGAAAAACAGACACTTGAACATAAATCAGCATTGTAAGAAATAAAATCATGGAAACCATCTTTGGGAAACATTTATTTGAAGTGCAATTAGATTTTTTAGTTTGGCTTAAGGGCTCATTTACTTGGAGAAGGCGGGGTTTATGACCTGTACTGCAGTCAGCCACCAGATGGCAATCACAATTTTAAGTCTTTACTTTTCAAGATGTGTATTTTTCTTGATTCAAACATGTTTTCCCCATATGAGCACCAAGGCTAAACATATCTGAAGCATGTGATAACTGACAGAGTTCATCTTCAGTTAGTAATTCTGAATATTTTGATTTTTCTGCAACATTTCTGTGGTAGAAGATATGATATTATTTGGGGAAATAGGTCACAGGCAGGATTCAAACCAGTTTTTCCAACATAAGCACCAAAGCCTGACATTTATAAACCATGTGATATCTGCTAGGCCTCATCTCCAAGCTCTGCTGTGCTAAAAAGCCCTTCCCAACCCAGAAAAAAGACACAAAGCAGTGGGCTGCACCATGGCAGAGGCCTGCATATATTTGAGTGGAAACATTCACTATAGAGCTTCAAAAAGAGGGAGTTATGAGGACACTGATTTTTGTAAAGATAAAGATAGTGAAAATGAGAAAACAAGGAAACGGTGTAAAGAGCAAACAAACTTTCACCTTCTATTTGGGGTTGGACGTTTTCTATGAAATGTCTTTGTGTATGACCCAACATGCTGCCTCTCCAGGTATACCCACATCAGCCTAAATTACAGAGAGGAAAATACAAAGGGGGAAAACAACCTGCAAGGGAAATTAAAAATCAAAAAAATATATTTATATATTTATATTTATATATATTTACGAGGTATGTATCCACAAAAAAGAACAAAAACAAGCAGTCTTTTTCTAACCTTGTGTTAAAGTCCCAATTAAAATAATAATAATAATTGTTACAATAATAATAATATCAATAGTAAATCGGCAAACCAAAATAAGGAGACTAAGCTCCTAGAAGTGTAGCACTGAGAGGTCGGTCAGCTTTCTCCAAAGGGAGTCCAAAGCGTCAAAGCCTCCATCCACCAGGTGGCGCTGCAACACACTTTGAGGAGCTTTTTTCCCTTCACATTAAGTGCAAAAAACAAACAAACAAAAATATAATAGTTCCAAGAGTTCAGCAGAAACCGTATTAAGTCAATGTAGCTGAAAGCCCAAAAGGTGTTGTGGCCCCCTGGAAACCATGTCTCTTGATTTACGAAGCTGTTCAGGGTCTCCACAACAAAAGATATCTTGTGCAACAAAACAAAAGGAAGAGCAAAACGAAACTCGAATCTAAAACAAAAACTCAGAAGATGTGATCCTCCTAGAGATTGTTAGTGAGGCCGTTTCCCGCCTTCCTTCGAGGTCATGCCAAATACTGCTGCATAGCCGTTTTTGCCCTGAGAGAAAGAGGGATATGTGTAGAGTCAAATCATTATGGCAACAAACCAAACAAAAAATGAAACAACTACCAACAAATGAATGAAAGTCTGTCCATCACCTGTCACAGAGGTTGGGATCTGATGCCTGGGTGAGTTTGTGTAAGATATCAACAAAGCCCATGTCCTTTAGCTTGTCTTGTCTCTCTTGTGAGCCTGGAGGAAGCGGAAAAACACAAACTTGTACTCTTGACAATACACAAAGAGTCCTATTTAACTCGAGGACTGGTCTCACTATCAGATATAAATAAACAACACCAAGTAATCTTCACAAAATTTATTTCCAATGCTGCACTGTTGTCATTCTCGGAAAAAGGATCAGATGCCTGAACCAATTGTTTAGAAGAGGAGTAATAATAATAATAATAATAAGTATGAAATATTATTATTATTTAATAAAAATATTAATATGATTATATAAATATTTAGGACAAAGTTAATGTTAAGATGTTAATATTTCATAAGTTTTAATAACACCATTAAATTTAACATAATGACTTTCTTTAGAACATTGAATGTCTTAAATTAAACTGTATATTTAGATGGAAATTTAAATATATAGCCCCATTTCCACCGCAGGAACTTTCCTCAGGAACTAGGGACTTTGGGCCGGTACTCTGTGCGTTTCCACTGCAGGAACCAGGATCTAAATAAAGTTATAGGTAAAACTTTGCCCCTCAGAAAGTCCCTGCTCGCGAGGTAGTACTTTTTCAAATGTCTGGAACTTTCGGGGGCGGGACTTGAGCGCTAAACATGCTGATTTTCACGCAGCATTTTTTCAACCACCATTTAATTGCATATTTTTTTTAATATTACTGATATTGTGTCATGAAATGTAGTTTTAAAAGTATTTCAGGTGAGAATGTAGTTGTTTAAAACTCAAATCTGCCATTTATTTATAAAGAGAGCACGCCTATTTGAAAATGTGCTTTGCCGATTTCGGAGACGTGAGCTCCACGTGATCAGTGGGAGCTCAGTGCTCATGTTTCTCGACGAGAACTACCGAGGACACAAGTCCAAAATTTAAGTACTTGGTATTGAGAAATGCTCGCAGACCAACGTCACCAGACTATTTGCCTAATTTTCATTGTACTTTAGATAGCGATGGAAACACAGACAGCAACAGGTCTGGGGGAAAAAAGTTCCTGGGACAAATTGTTCCAGGTAATTTCAGTGGAAAAGCGGCTTATATAATATAAAATAATAATAAATAAAAAAAACGCACACACAAATGATTAATGATTAATATTTTAATTGACAGTCCTAACTGCGTTTTTACTTTAAATCTTGTTGTGTATATTTTTATATTTGGACAAACTGACAGCACAACAGTTAAAGGGGTCATCAGATGCCCATTTTCCACAAGTTGATACGATTCTTTAGAGTTTTAATGAAAAGTCTATGACATAGTTTGTTTAAAATTTCTCAATGGTAGTGTAAAACAACACCCTTTTTACCTTGTCAAAATCAGCTCTGTTTTCAGCAACTCGTTTTAGTGCATGTTCCTTTAAATGCTAATGAGCTCTACTCACCCCGCCCCTCTCTTCTGTGGGGTGACCAGCGGTTCTCATGAGACTGTTTACTTTAGCTGCAGAACTTGCTAACTTGCACATTATTAGGAAAGGCGATTTGCAAAGATTCATAAAAGAACCTCATACTCACTTCTTCTGTAGGTGAGGCTGGATCACGAATGATTTGCGGGAACATAGACGCATTTAGGTTAGATCGGTGGCACATTCCCTTCAAAAACAAAGGTAATCCACTACGTCTTCAGTGGCTCAGATGTCGGGAGTAAATGACGACTGCTATGTTCATTATTACATCCAACAACAGAACACCTTAATCACTTAGGAGACACTCTTGTCTACATCTGCTCGGCGTTGAAACAATGGTGGACTGATGACACCTCACTCGGGGCGGGTCTATGGTAAAACGCTAGTGTCAATCAACAATCGTGGGAGTGGCCTGGGTCTGTGCGATGTCACACAGCCAAGCATCTGAGAATGGCTTGATATGAGAAAGGGGAAATGATTTAACGAGATTAAAAAAACCACTGGGTGGATCTTTATCATTATAGGGTGGTTGTGTACATACACTGCAAACACACATTTCAGTTCAAACAACTTGTAAAAACGCATGTCGCATCCGTTGACCCCTTTAAACTGTCCCCCACTGCCCCTCCACAGAACCTATGTGTCATGAGTTTCTCACCGTCCTCCTCATTCCAGATGAGGTTAGAGATGCAAAAGGTGGCAGCCAGCTGCAGCTTCACGTTGGAGTGACCCTGAAACATAGAGAACAGAAGAAATTACACAGAAGCAAAATAACTATCCAGTAGGGGGAGCAGTGATAAGGTGGAAACAAGCAACACTACAAGGACACTATGGTACAGACAATAAAATAGTGTGAAAGAAAACATACTGAAAAAATCCCACAATTGAGAAACCAGATGAGCTAATGACAATTCACTGACCATATAATATTTAATTTTTTGGAGCATGTCGTCATTGGTCATAATGAGTTCCTTGGCAGCGTTTCCATCAGCAATATTGGCCAATATGCACAATGTCTGCAAAAAAAAAATAAAAAATCACAAAAGTATTGTTAAACATCAACTCTGGAAACTATTAAATTCTCCTAAACGAATGTGCCAGGTTCAACAGCAGTTATCTGTATGTTTAAGAGAATGTAAGACAAGACGTTATATATATATATACACACACACAGTATCTCACAGAAGTGAGTACACCCCTCACATTTTTGTAAATATTTTATATTTTTTCATGTGACAACACTGAAGAAATGACACTTTGCTACAATGTAAAGTAGTGAGTGTACAGCTTGTATAACAGTGTAAATTTGCTGTCCCCTCAAAATAACTCAACACATTAACACTGGGGAGCTACAGTTCATTGAGGGAACCATGAATGCCAACATGTACTGTGACATACTGAAGCAGAGCATGATCCCCTCACTTCGGAGACTGGGCCTTAGGGCAGTATTCCAACATGATAACAATCCCAAACACACCTCCAAGACGACCACTGACTAGCTAAAGATGCTGAGGGTAAAGATGATGGATTGGCCAAGCATGTATCCAGACCTAAATCCTATTGAGCATCTGTGGGGCATCCTCAAACGGAAGGTGGAGGAGCACAAGGTCTCTAACATCCACCAGCTCCGTGATGTCA